CAGCCCACGGCATGGAGCCTGTGGGGCGTTCCCCGGGCGCTGCTGGCAGGGGACGCGATGCATTCCACTGGGGACCTGGCAGCGCTCAGGGCTGCAGAGCAAGGAGTTTCTCCGAAAGCAGTGGTTCGGGTTTCTGAAATACTCACTGACAGCTACCTGGCCATGATCGAGGGTCAATGTCTCGATCTCGAGTTTGAGGGCCGGACCGACATCACGACCGATGAGTACCTGCACATGATCGCCTGCAAGACAGGCGCTCTCATCCGGTGCGGGCTAGAGACAGGTGCCCTGCTGGCGGACGGCGACGAAGAGGCCGTGGAGGCCTTCGCCAAGTTCGGAGAGGGATTGGGCCGAGCATTCCAAGTACGGGATGATTACCTGGGGATATGGGGCGACGAGGCCACGCTGGGTAAGGCCACGGGAAACGATATCAGGCGGCGGAAGAAATCCTACCCCGTGGTCTTTGCCCTGGAGAGGGCGGCCGGAGCGGCCCTGGACGATCTCCACAGGATCTACGGTCAGACGGAATTGCAGGAGGACGACGTCGAGCGAGTCCTCGCGATCCTGGACGAGGTAGGAGCGCGGGAGCAGTCACAGTTCGTCACCGAGGAGGCCGCCAATCGAGCCCTGCGCGCACTGACTCCAATACCGCTGCCCGAATGGGCCAAAACGGAAGCAGAGGAACTGGTTGATTTCCTTGCCCGCAGAGAATATTAGAGCCAAGCTATAGATTCATATACCAGTCGGGAAGATCATGCACGGGCATGCTCACCGATTCTCAGGGAAGCATTTGGAAAGGAAGGCCGATGACCACTACTACAAAGCGCGCCAAAAGGCCCATGGAACTGTCCGTCCGCCTGGCCGGCTACATCCTTAAGCAGAAGGCACGCGGCAGGAGCAAGTTTCCCCTGGTGACCATGCTCGAGCCCCTCGAGATGTGCAACCTGGCCTGCATCGGATGCGGTCGGATCCGCGAGTACAAGTCGGTGCTGGACAAGATGATGCCTGTTGATGAGGCCATCAGCGCAGTAAAGGAGTCAGGAGCCCCCATCGTGTCCATCGCCGGCGGAGAGCCGACCATACATCCTCGAATTCACGAAATCATCAACCCGGCTGGTGGAGGAAAAGTACTTCGTCTACTGCTGCACGAATGGATTGTTGCTGCAACGGGTAATGGACAAGGTAGCGCCGTCAAAATACCTGTGCTGGGTGGTGCACATGGACGGTATGGAGGAGAAACACGACGAGTCGGTGGCGCGTGCCGGAGTCTTCAACAAGGCGGTCGAAGCCATCAGCGAAGCCCTGGACCGGGGGTACCGGGTGTGCACCAACACGACCGTATTCAGGGGCAGCGACGTCGAGGACTTGACGGAGATGTTCCGGATGGTCAGCGACATCGGCGTCGAGGGATCGATGATTTCCCCGGGCTACGACTTCATCGACGCTCCGGACCAGGAGATATTCCTGACTCGCCAGGAATCGCACGAATTGTTCAAGCAACTGCTCGACCCAGAAAATTCGGAGGGAGCAAAGTTCTACAACAATCCGCTCTACCTGAATTTCCTGAAGGGAGACCGGGAGTACCAATGCACGGCCTGGTCCAACCCGACCTACACGGTGATGGGCTGGCGCAAGCCCTGCTACCCGCTGGCTGACGAACACGTGGAGCATGTCTCCGAGCTGTTCGAGAAAGACTTGTGGCAGAACTACGGTGTGGGCAAAGATCCGCGGTGCTCCAATTGCATGATGCACTGCGGCTTCGAGTCGGCAACCATTTTCAACGCGGTTCAGTCGCCTCGGGACTGGGCCACCTTGATCAAATCGGGGGCGGCCCACAAGGGCGGCATCACGGCGGCCTAGAGTTCCAGGGAGGAGGGGCAAGGATAGTTTTGCTTTTCGTAGTGGCCAGCATGGAGCCGGAACTGTCCGGTCTGCAGCGGGAGTTTGCGGCTCTTGACGCCTCTCGTGTCGCTGGCTTTCCCGTGGAGTTCCATTTTGTGGGGGTTGGGCCGAGGCGCTCCGCGAGGGCGATGAATGAGTTCCTGACGAAGGCCAAACGCAAACCCGAGGGCGTGCTGATGCTGGGTGTGGCCGGCGCAGTGGACCCGGGGATGGAATCGGGAGAGGTCATCCTGGCCGACACCTATGCGCTGGACACGAAAGAGGATTCTGCGGCAGACATCCCACCTGATCCCGAGATGCTGGGCGTGGCCGAATCGGTTGCATCCAATTTTGAGGATGCCTGTAAGCCGAGCAAGTTCGCTCACGGTAGATCACCTGATCGTGGAGGGCAAAGAGCGACAGGGGCTGAGAGAAAAATATGGAGCGGGGAGCGTGAACATGGAGGATCACGCCGTCGCTTCTGCAGCAAGGGAATTCGGGGTTCCGTTTCTTTCCGTGCGAACGATTCTGGACACAGCGGAGCAGACGATCCCGGGTTATCTCCCAGGACTGTCTGGGGGCCGCAATGCTGTATTCAGCGAAATTCTGCTGAAGCCCTGGCGTATTCCCACTCTAATGAAACTCAAGTCGCAAATGGACTTGTGCCAGTCGGTCCTGACCAGGTTCGGGTTTGACCTACTTCAAGATGGAATCCGAAAGGCGAAGGAGCGCAAGAGAACAAGCAGCCAAGGATGCCATCTACTAGGGAGACTCCACTTTGAAGGGGAGTCGAATGAGCGAGGATGAGAGTCCTGGTAACTGGGGCTACTGGGTTTGTCGGAGGGAACCTGGCCCGTGAGCTCTGGGAACGCGGTTACGAGGTGCGGGCCTTAGCCCGCCCAGGCAGCAATTCTTTAACAACAATAGGCACGGGCATCCACCGGACGGAGGGCGACATCCTTGACAGGGAATCGCTCAGCCGTGCAATGGCCGGATGCGAAGCAGTCTTTCACTGTGCCGCCGCCTACACCTTCTGGTCGAGGGACCCACGGGGGGTACGGCGAGCCAACGTGGAGGGCACCGTGAATGTGCTTGAGTGTGCCAGGGATGCGCGAGTGCACCGGATCGTGTACACCAGCACCGTTTCGACAGTCGGGATACCGAAGGACGTGGGTCTGGGGGATGAATCGATTGCGCTGTCCCGTCACACGCTGCACGGCCATTACAAACAGTCGAAGTTCGACGCGGAACGAGAGGCAATGCGGCTGGCAGGCGAAGGAGTGCCGGTGGTTGTGGTGAATCCCACGGCTCCGGTGGGGCCATGGGACGTCAAGCCGACGCCGACGGGGAAGATAATCCTCGACTTTATCAGGAGGAAAGATCCCGGCCTACCTGGCCACGGGAATGAACTTGGTGGACGTGGCGGACGTCAGCGCAGGGCATATATTGGCCCTTGAACGGGGAGAAATTGGACAGAGGTACATCCTTGGCAACCGGAACGTGACACTGAAAGAAATGTTTGGAATGCTCAGCGAAATCACCGGCTTGGCGGCGCCTCGTGTGCGCTTGCCTTATTGGCTGGTGGTAGGTGTCGGCTACGCCGAGCAGGCCGTGTCCTCAGGATTGTTGCACAAGGAGCCGCGCATTCCGGTGGAAGGCGTGCTGGCATCGAAGAAGCCAGCGTGGGTGAGCAGCCAGCGGGCGATCACGGAACTGGGATTACCGCAGAGCCCGGTGGAGAGGGCTCTGGAGCGAGCGGCCGAATGGTTTGCGGCCAACGGATACCTGGATAAAGTCAAGGACGGATCGAGAAGTTAATGGCAGATTCTGCAATTCCGCTGCTGAATGGACTGGCCAAGCAGGCTGGGTTAGTGGACAGGGCCAAGAGGGCTATCAGCCACTCTCACAGCTACTTCCGGGATGCCCAGCATCCGGACGGCTACTGGTGGGGCGAGTTTGGAATCGAACCCCACGATGGAGGCCGAGTACCTGATGCTAAGTCACTTCCTAGGACGTAAGAACCCTGATCGGTGGCGCAAGGTGGCTAACCATATCCTGAGCAAGCAGCAGACGGATGGTTCCTGGGGCCAATATTACGAGGCGCCGGGTGACGTCAGCACCAGTGTGGAATGCTACTTTGCTTTAAAGCTGGCCGGCCACACCTCAGATTTCGGCTCAACTGACCAGTGCTAGGGAGTTCATTCTCAGCAGAGGCGGTGTTCCCAAGACGCGGGTTTTCACGAAGATCTGGCTCGCGCTTTTTGGGCAGTGGGACTGGAGCGGGACGCCCAACCTCCCTCCGGAGTTAATCCTGCTGCCGTCCTGGGCCCCATTCAATATCTACGAGTTCTCCAGCTGGGCCAGGGCGACCATCGTGCCTATGAGTATCATACTCACCGAGCGGCCCTACTGCCCCGTACCGGATGATGCTGGCATCGACGAACTGTATCCCCACGGTAGGGAGGCTACGGACTTTTCCCTATCCATGCCGGACGACTGGATGTCGCGCGGGCTGTTCACGCTGGACCGTTTGATGAACCTATATCGAAAATCCCCCATGCAGCCCCTGCGCGGCCTCGCGAGGCGCAGGGCACTGGACTGGATCTTGGAGCACCAAGAAGCAGACGGTGCCTGGGGAGGCATTCAGCCGCCGTGGGTTTATTCGCTTATTGCCCCTGCACCATGCGGGCGAGGATGAGTTTTCCGATGCTTTAAACAAGGGGTTCGACGGGTTCGATTCCTTTGCCATCGAGGACGAGGAGACCTGCACCGTGCAAGCTTGCGTGTCGCCGGTGTGGGACACGTGCCTGGCCCAGGTGGCGCTGCTGGAATCGGGCCTGGCTCCGGACGATCCAATGGTACAGAGTTCAACCCGTTGGCTGGTGAACAACCAGATCCTCGAAGAGGGCGACTGGTCGGTCCGTGCCAAGGGAAACGCCGCCAGGCGGTTGGGCTTTCGAGTTCCATAACGACAAATATCCGGATATTGACGACTCTTCCGAGGTCATCATTGCGCTGGCGCTTGCCAGGATGGAAGGGGAAGAGGAGACGCAGCGACAGGAAGCCATCCGACGTGGCGTTGAGTGGATCGAGGGAATGCAGTCGCGCAGCGGGGGCTGGGCAGCCTTCGATAAGAACAATGACCGGCAATACGTGGCGAAGCTACCGTTTTCTGACTTCGGGGAAACGCTGGATCCACCCAGCGCAGACGTGACCGCCCACATTTTGGAAATGTATGGCCGTCTTGGATATTCGGCATCTCACTTTCCGGTGCAACGCGGCTACACTTACCTCCGGCAAGAACAGGAGACGGACGGGCCATGGTTCGGGCGTTGGGGCGTCAACTACATTTATGGCACCGGAGCGGCACTGCCGGCGATGGAGGCCATCGGCGAGGATATGAGCCAGCCCTACATTCGCAGCGCGGTGGACTGGCTGCTGCAGCACCAGAACGATGACGGCGGTTGGGGAGAGTGTTGCGGGTCTTATGTGGACGATTCCCTGCGGGGCGTTGGCCCGTCTACGGCGTCGCAAACGGCCTGGGCGCTCCTCGCGCTGATCGCCGCTGGCGAGGCCAACTCCGAGGCCTGTCGCTTGGGAATACAGTACCTGCTCGACATTCAGCAGGAAGACGGAAGCTGGGACGAACCGTATTTTACAGGGACCGGGTTCCCTGGGTATGGCGTAGGCAGGCGACAAAACGGCATGCCGAAGCCGGGCCAGGCCGGATACCAAGGACTGGAAATGCCGGCCGGGTTCATGATCAATTATCACCTTTACAGAAATTACTGGCCCCTGCTGGCGCTGGGACGCTTCGCCCGGGCCATATCCGATTCCGATCAGGAGGAGTTGCGCCGTGGAACCGGAGCGGCCTTCCCACAAACTGCAAGCAATGGACGGGCTTAAAGGAAGCGAAGCATGAAGACCAAGTCATTCTGTCTCAGTGTCAAGACCGAGGAGGCCCCGCAGTTTATTGACATCACGGAGTGGGTGTCGGGGTGCGTCGCCAATTCCAAGGTAGAGAACGGGTTTGCCGTGGTGTATTCCAAGCACACCACGGCAGCGATAAAGATTAACGAGAACGAGCCATTGCTACTCGAGGACATGGCCGTGTTCCTGGAGGGTGTCGCCCCCCGGCACGCTCCGTACCGTCACAATGACTTCGAGATTCGAACAGTCAACATGAATCCCGACGAATCTCCCAATGGCCACGCTCACCTGCAGCATCTGCTGCTGGGTACCAGCGAGACGGTTCCGATCCTCAATGGCGAGATGCAGTTCGGGACTTACCAGAGCATCTTTTTCATCGAACTTGATCACCCCCGCAACCGTGAGGTGATGGTGCAAGTGGTGGGCGAGTAGACCAGGAGCCTGAAAAGGGAGGCGCTGCGGGATCTTCCTGAGTCCGCGTCGCGCCTGAGAAACCCGGCGGATATGGCCACATCGAAGTCGGAACTGGAGTTGGCCTACGCCGACTGCCAGAAACTCACGCGGCGAGAGGCCAAGAATTTTTACTATGCGTTCGTGACCCTGCCGCTGGAAAAGCGGAAGGCCATCTACGCCGCATACACGTTCTGCCGTCACTGCGATGATTCAGTGGACGAGGCCGCGTCCCCCGAGGAGACAGCTATCGGCGCTTGCCGGTCTGCAGGCCAGCCTTGAGGACGCGTACCAGGGACGGGCACCCAGCCCGATGTTCCTAGCTCTCGCGGACACTGCTGACAGGTATTCAATTCCCCAGGACTATTTTCGCGAAATTATCCTGGGAGTCGAGAGCGACCTAGTCAAATCGCGGTACCAGGATTTCGAGGAACTGCGTCAATACTGCTACCGGGTCGCTTCCGTGGTCGGCCTGGTTTGCCTGCAGATTTTTCAATACAGGGACGAGGCAGCCCGGGAGTATGCTGTGGACCTTGGTCTGGCCATGCAGCTGACGAATATCATGCGTGACATCAGAGAGGACTGGGATATGGGTCGAATCTACCTGCCCCAGGACGAGATGGCGCGCTACGGCTACACCGAGCAGGAGCTGGGAGCCGGGGTGCACAATGAGGCCTTCGTGGAATTGCTTCGGTTCCAGAGCCAACGTGCCAGGGAATACTTTCGCAGCGGCTTTCGGCTTCTGCCGTACCTGTCGCGTCGCAGCAGGGCATGTCCAGCTGTGCTTGGTGCAATCTACTCACGCGTTCTGGACCGCATCGAGGGTTCCGGCTACGACGTGCTGGGTGAGAAGCGAATCGCATTGACAACGGGCGAGAAGGCCCGGATTACCGCACGGGCCTGGCTGGCCAGCACGCTTGCGCTGCCCGTGCTTCGGCCATAGCCTCGTGGTTGGGTGCGAGGCGAGCGAGTGGGTGGGCTGTAACGCTCTGCCCGATACCAGAGCGGTCCGCTTTGCGCCAGACTCTGGAGTCTTGGGAACCTGCTAGACTTGCCGTATGACAACACCGCAGAAAGTGGTGGCGGTAACTGGTTCGTCCGGGCACTTGGGATCCAAGCTCCTGGAGCATCTTGAAGAGCTCCCAGGCTTGGGCAAGCTCGTCGCCTTTGACAATCGGCCACTGCGAGCGCCGGTCCACAACATCGCAGCCCTTCGAAAAGACGTAAGCGAGGACATTAGCGGGGAACTGGCGATACATCAGGTCAATACCCTAGTACACCTGGCGTTCGATTGGAAAAGTGGAATGCGCCGTCGCGACGCGGCGGAGAGCAGCGCGCGAAACGGGAAGATGGTTCGGGCGGTGCTTGATTCCTCTCTCGCTGCAGGCGTCCAGCACTTGATTTACGTGAGTTCCCATGCCGTCTACGGAGCCCGCGCTGACGCGCCTTTCCCCGTGAACGAGGAGTGGCCACGGACTCCGGCGCCGGGATTTCCCTATGCCCAGGACAATCACCTTGCCGAACAGGTCCTGCTTGAACAGGCTGAGCGGTCGACAGAGCTAAAGATAACAATCTTTCGCAGCTGTCCCGCCCTTGGGTCGATGACTTCCGTGGCACTGTTGCGGGAGTTGTACTTTCCCGGGTGGGTGGGCTTGTCGGACTATAACCCTCCCCTTCAGTTTGTAAGTGATGATGATTTGGCGCGGGTCATCTGCCTTGCTATAACCAGGGAATTGCCTGGGGTCTTCAACGTGGCCGGAGGGGGCGTGGTCTTTCTCAGGGAACTTGCAGAGGCGATGGAAACACGCCGAATGCAGTTGCCGGCAAGCATCGTAAATCCCTTGAAGAGACTGACCGGTGGCGCGTTTGTTGCTTACAGCCATTCTCTTGACCGTTGGCCTGTGATTATGAGCACGGCAAAGCTACACCGGGCGACCGGGTATTGCTACCGCCGTACTGCCTTGGAAGCCGTTGCCTGCCTTGTCAGTTACAACCACGAATTCGAGGACAGCCTTCCGAGTTTGATCGCGGTCCGCTGATCACTGGCAACCTGCCCCATTCCCTGGGAACCCCCCATCGCTGTCCCCCATCCTCGACCTAATGGAATCTACAATGAGGCTCGTCATCGACACCGACCCCGGAGTGGATGATGCCATTGCGATCCTGATGGCCCTCGCGGCACCGGGGGTCGAGGTCATTGGATTGACCACCCTTGGTGGCAACGTTCCCAGGGCGCGCGCGACCCGCAACGCCCTGGCGCTTCTTCAGGCAGCGGGTCAAGCAGACATTCCGGTAGCCAGAGGTGCAGCGCGTCCTATTAAGGGACAGTATCGCCCGTCGGTTGCATTCCACGGACCTGGGGGCCTATCTGTGCGATTGCCTCAGCCATCGTGCTCACCTGTGAAAGAGACGGCAATTGACTTTCTGCACAGGGAAATTACGTCTGAGCCGGGCAGCATCTTTGTGCTGGCCCTTGGCCCGCTTACGAATCTTTCGCGACTGGAAAGCCGGTACCCAGGCACTCTTTCACTGGCGGCAGGCGTTGTAGTTATGGGGGGTGCCGTGGAGACGCGGGGCAATGTAACTCCAAGGGCCGAGTTTAATTTTCACAGCGATGCCTTAGCCGCGGCACAGGTTCTGTATCTGAATGTTCCGATTGCGTTGGCGGACCTGGCATCGTGTCGTCAGGTGGGGATCAGCAGAGGGCAGGCGTTCAAGATTACGGCCGAGGCGCCGTTGGGCAATCTGGCGCTGCGGATATTGCAGGGCTGGTTCCAGTGCGACCCGCAGCGGCAACGGTTTGAGTTCTATGATCCCCTGGCGGTGGCAATGGCCCTGGACCCCGGAGTAGCGACGTTCCGACAGGTAGCGCTCGATGTAGGAACCGAGCCCGGCCCGCACTGGGGGGAAACAACGGTGGCAGGCGAACCTGGTCCGGTCGCTTTGGCCCACAGGGTGGACGCCTCCCGATTCTTCGCGCTGCTCAATGAACTGTTCGCGTGGCGAGGTCTGTAAACGCGGTTCCCAAATTGTTCGTGGGATGTCGATTATCCACATTGGTTGAAAAACCGTGGTTATTTGGAGCCGTTAGTATGTAAGCTCTGGGATATTCCATATAGGATGGAAGTCAGTTGCAAATTCCCCGGCAAGGAATGAAGGCAGAAAATGTCAAAGATATTCTATTTCGTGGCCCTGATAGCGCTGGTGGCGGTGCTGGCGTGCGGTGGTGAGGATGCTACGGAGGCACCGGAGGATACGCCGGTTCCGCAGCCGACTGCTGTGCCAACGTCTCCTCCCGAGCCTACGGTGGCTCCCGAGCCAACCGACACTCCGGAGCCGACTGCTGTTTCGCAATCAACAGCCACACCCAAACCAATGGCCGCCCCCGAGGCGACAGCGACCTCAGCGCCTGAGCCGACAGTTTCCACGCCGGAGGAGACCGAGGAACCCACGATGGCGCCAGTTTCCCAGCAACCTGCCGCCGTCAGTGGGCAAATCGCACCATTGATGCTGGATGATCCTGTAGCAGTCGCCTCGGAGCTATCTGAGGGTGAGTTGGCTTGCCTAGCGGGGATTGCGGAAACTGACCGGTTGCTGCAGATCTTTTCGAACCCGGATATAGCGAGCCGCGAAGAGCAGGCCCAATTCATCAATTGCCTGGAAGACGAGTCGATTACACGGCTCTTCGTCACGGGACTGATAGGCCAATCCGGGCCGCTCAGTGTCGAGACCTCGGATTGCGTTCGGTCTGGAATGGATGGTGTCGACCTGCGCTCGGTGATGCTGGCGGGCTCAGGAGGGGACGAAGAAGCTGCAATGGTTGGAAGCATGACTGCTTTCTTCCTGACGCTTTCGTGCCTGAACGAGGAGGAGTTTGCGGCGGCGGCTCCTGCCCTGGACATGACCCCGGAGGACCGCGAAAGCCTCCAGTGCGTACAGGAGCAACTTGGCGGTGCTGAAGGGATGGCCGCGACTCTTGGGTCCGGCGACGAAAGCGGCATTATGGCCCTGTTCGGTGCTGCAATCGGATGCGGGCTGAGCCTGGACTCCGGCCCGGAACCTGGCGGCTAGACCGCAACTGAACGCGCGGCGGCTTCGGCCCGGAGGATGGGGATGAGTTCCCTGCCGTAGTCGGCAGTGTCCTGCAACGGGTCGAAGCCGCGAATCAGCACCGTCGAGCATCCGGCGTCGTAGTAGGTCATAAGCGACTCCGCGACCTGCTCGGCGGTGCCTACGAGGGCGGTGGTACTACCCGCTGCCCCTGTTGCGGCGGCGATGGGCATCCACAGGCGCTGGTCGTGGATTTCCCCCTTAGCTGCGAAGTCCAGAAGCCTCTGGGAACCCACCGACTGCAGTCGGGCCGGGCGATCTGGTCCGACGGATTCCCCCACTGAGCCACGCACCCGCTCCAGGATCCCTCTTGCCCTTTCCCAGGCCTCGCCCTCGGTATCGCCCAAGATGGGGCGCACCGAGAGGCTGAACCGCATGTCGCGCCCGTACCGGGCGGCCCGGGAGCGTATCTCCGCAATTTGCTCCCTTATGGCGGCGATGGGTTCTCCCCAAAGCGCGTACACGTCGGCATGCCGGGCGCCTACCTCCATGGCCGCCTCCGACGCACCGCCGAAGTAGAGCGGGACGTGGGGGCGTTGCCTGGTGCGCACCTGGCTGTGGGCCTGTTCGAGGTGATAGAACTCGCCCTGGTAATCGAACGGCGCGTACTCGGTCCATATGCGTCGCACGATGTCCATCCACTCTCCGGTGCGGCGATAGCGGGAGTCGTGGTCGAGCCAGTCTCCATCGCGGCGCTGCTCCTCGTCGCTGCCGCCAGAAATGACGTGCAGGGCGATGCGCCCGCCGCTGAGCTGATCGAGGGTCGCAGCGTGTCGGGCGGCGAGGGTGGGGGCCATGAAACCGGCGCGATGGGCGATGAGGTATCCCAGGCTCTCGGTGCGCGTTGCGGCGTATCCTGCGACGGCGAAGCTGTCGGCAGTGGCCGAGGAATAGCCGATCAGGACCTTGTCGAATCCGCTCTGCTCGTGGGCTTCGGAAAATTCGGCAATGTAGTCCGGGTCGACACCTGCGGGGATCTCATCGGCGGGGTTAATGCCGCCCCCGAACAGGCTGACTGTGACGCCTCTCGAGGAGTCCCGTTCCCGGTTGACTCCGATCATGCCGATAACTTCTATGTCGGACATTCCTTCACTCTAGCCGGGATGATGATTCAGGATGCGGTGGCGCCAAATTTCGGCAACACCAGCGTCGAGTAGATATGACTCAGTCCAGCCATCACCGGCATGGCGAGGACGTAGCCGGCTTTGGCGGCCGAAAGGTCAACGGTCAAAACGGCCACCCAACTCAGGATCGGGACACCGGCAAGAAACATGAAAAGGGCGACCATAGACTTTCTTGTGTGAAAGAGGGCAACCAGGGACAGCGCGCCAAGGGGCAGAGCAATTGCCGGTACAGTGGCAAACAGAACGCCGACGGCCACAGCCGCCCCGCGACCGCCCTTGAACCGCAGGAACACCGGCCAGACGTGTCCTGCGAACGCGCAGATGCCGGCGAGCATCTGGATCCCGCTGTCGCGGGCAATTACGCCAACCAGGACTACGGCCAGGCTGCCCTTGACGATGTCCAAAGCGCCGCAGGCCAATCCGGCCCGGGGTCCAATCTCGCGGTAGACGTTGGCGGCGCCGCTGTTGTTGTCTCCCATGCTGCGTATGTCGCCGCCCAGCGTGAAACGGGCGAAGAGGTATGCCGTCGGGATTGCGCCGATGAGATAGGCCAGCAACCCCAGTCCGAGCCATTGCGCTATTTCGGTCAGAGTTTCCACGGGCGCCTGCGTCTCATTCCTTTATGCATCAAGGGTAGGCCCTTGACCTGCCCCCGCATTGTGGAAAGTTTCAGTGAACTTCGTCGAGTATCAATCCTGGATCCAGTGTTGGGCGCTGTCGCCAAGCATTTCGATTCTCAGACACGGGAGTGCTGGCCGAGGGCCGACCATGCATCGTAGTTTTCCTGCATGGACCGTACGTGTTCGGGGATGTGGCTCTCGTAGACTTCCAGCCAGTCGTCCAGGGTCATGTTCCCGTTCTCGGGGTGGTAAGCGATATTGCCCCAGGTGGAATCGGGAAGGGTCTTTATCAGCGTGAAGGTCTTCTGGCGAAGCCACCGGAACAGTTCCAGGGAGTCCGCGATGTCCTGGTCGTGATAGAGCAGTGATTCGGCCCAGAGGTTTTCGTCGTAGGCCATCAGGGATTGTCCGGGCTCGGCAATCAGCCTTCGGCACCTGATGTAGCTGTTGACCTCGCTGTCAGCTATGTGAATGAGATGCTCGTGGATGCTCCAGCATCCGTGCCCGTCCCTGAAGGTCCACATATCCCGCGGGAAACGCTCCAGGGCCCTGGTCAGTTGGCCGTAGCCGTTGCCGTAGGACTCAATTTTCGCGGCTCTCTTTTCAGGCGTCAGCAAACAATCACTCTTTCGGAACTGGGAGCAAATTCGGGATACTGCTGTCCGCCATCAGTCGAGCCGGGACAAGTGCCTGGCCGAGTTTACGCCGTGACCCCGTTGGGAACTGCGGCGGTGCACCAGTGCAGGTACTTGGGGTTTCGGCCAAAACGATGTCGAAGTACATCTGCTTGAGCTGCGACGATACCGGACCTGGGTTGCCGTCGGCGATGGGTCGGCTGTCCAGCGAAATCACGGGGGTCAGGTGGGCCGCCGTGCCGGTCAGAAACACTTCGTCGGCCAGATACAGCTCGGTGCGGTCGATTCGGCGCTCCACTACCTCGATGCCCAGTTCCTCGCTGGCCAGCTCCATCACGGTATCGCGGGTGATGCCGGGGAGGGGGTTGTCCTCGAGGACCGGGGTGATCAGTTTCCCCTTGCGCATCATGAAGAGGTTCTCGCCGGAGCCCTCGGCGACGTGTCCGTCCTGGTTCAGCAGGATGGCCTCGTCGAAACCGGCCAGGACAGACTCAGTCTTGGCCAGGATGCTGTTCAGGTAGTTGGCAGAGGTCTTGACCTGGGTCGGCGTCATTTGATCCTCCAGCCGACGCCAGGAGGAGGTGCAGCAACGCAGGTTCTCAGTGCCCAGGTAGTTGCCAAAAGGCACAACAATCAGGGTGAAATCGCTGGCGATCTCGTGGAGCTTCAGGTTGGCGACCAGCTCCTCGCTCTTGTAGGCGAGGGGCCGGATGTAGACGTCGGAGCGGTTGCCGTTTTTCTCCACCAGTCGACGGTGATCTTGCAGAGGTCGTCGACGCTGTAGGGGATGTCCAGCATGAGCATCCGGCACCCTAGGTGCAGGCGTTCGTAATGCTCGCGCAGACGGAAAATGTAGGTGGTCTCGTGTTCCGCGTTCCAGTTGCCACGGATGCCCTCGAAGACGGCGGTGCCGTAGTGGAGGGCATGGGTCATCACACTCACACGGGCATCTTCCAAAGGCACCACCTCGCCCCGGAAAAAGGCAAACTGAGGTGGAGGAGCGTTACTGCCGGAAGCCGTGCGGTTGGTCATTTCAACTGTCCTTGGGCCAGATTCAGGGCCTAGATTATATTGGATACGGCAAATCGGATACAACCTGCCTCCATCGTGAGAGGACGGACCCTCCGTATGGGTGAACAATGATCTCGGCCGCGAGTCTTACCCTTGACCTTCGGTGGGGGTAATTCGTCCCGGGTTTGAGCTTGGCGCAGTCGACCATGGATGTGCTCTGTTCGTCAGTCGTAGCGTTGAATCTAAGGGCGCGTGGTTCCTCTGTGTCTGATGGTACGGATGTGTCATGAGGCTTGGCAAGGGGCTTCTATCATCAAAACGCGATTGCCGTGGTCTATAATCCCTGCTGGCCGATTCGGGGCGCAGATTGCCTTCCGGTCCAGACGGAAATTGGGGTCTTGTGATGGGACAAGCAGCGCGAGTCGCTGCAGTTGGTTTCGCGCTGCTTGGGGCGCTGGCGTTGGTCGTGGCCGCGGTCATACTGCTGGCACGGGGAGACGACGTGGCGCCCGTGGTCATCGTGGCGCCAGAAGAGACTGCAACGCCCGAGCCTACGGCCGCTGACATACGTGTGCAGGTCAGCGGAGCGGTGCCATCTCCGGGTGTGTACGCCATGAAAGAGGGCGATCGCGTAATAGACGTCATCGCGGCGGCCGGGGGCGTGCGGTGGGACGGCGAGATCAAGGGCATAAACCTGGCGGAGCGGGTGCAGGATGAGGCGCGCTACCACGTTCCGATACGGGGCGCTGCGCCTTCATTTTCCGCACCATCCACTCCAGAGCCCGAGGCCCAGGAAAAAGAGATACAACAAAGAAGCCGGCCCCTAACGGTTGATCTAAATACTGCTACCGCGGTTGAACTGGAGACGCTGCCTGGAATAGGGCCAGTGACGGCAGGCCTGATCATCACACACCGTGAGACATACGGGCCATTCGTCGCCATCGACGAGGTGCAGGATGTTCCGGGCATTGGTCCCAAGACCCTGGAAGCCATCAGGGGGCTGGTTACCGTATCGGGCGGGCAATAGCCGCTTGCCTTTCTCATCGCGTGCGCTGCTGTCCGGGCCGGGGCGGCGAGGGAAGGGAGACTTTTGAGGGCGGGGTTGCTGTCGGCGGCCTGGCTTGCCGGGGTGCTGCTGGGACTGTCGGTCCAAGTTGAACATTCGCTGGTATGGCTGCTGGCGGGCGCTGCAGGGCTAACGGCGCTCGGGATGCACCTGGCGCGTTTGCCGGCCTTCCCAGCGGTGCTGATGGCGGTCCTGCTGCTGGGGTTGGGGAGGGCGGAACTCCACGGCCGGGACCAAGTTTCTCACGCATTCTATGGCCAACGAATCATTGCTGAAGGAACCATTGCCAGCGACCCCGAGACCACGGCACGACAGGTGCGCTTTGAACTCAATGTTTTCAGCGTCGAGGTCGATGGTCAACGGAGCGAGGTCGAGGAGCGCTGGCTCGTGTACGCCAGCCCGCCCGATGACCTGGTGACCTTGCGGACACCTCCGTATTTCCGCTACGGCGATGCGGTTATGGTCCGGGGCACGCCGCTGCATCCGGAGCCAATCGACGGGTTCGACTATGCCAGCTACCTGGAGGCGCAGGGCATCTCGGCCACCGTGTTTGCTGAGGATGCGCTCATTGCGGGACGGGGAGGAACGTGGTGGCGGTCCGCGATATTCGCTGCTCGCGGACGGCTGGCAGACAGCATCGAACGGTCGATGCCCTACCCCGAGTCGGCGCTGGCAATGGCGATGCTCCTGGGCAAGCGGGAATCTCTGCCTCCGGACTTGGTGGAAGCGTTCCGGGGTACCGGCGCGGCGCACCTGCTGGCCATCTCAGGACTGCACGTAGGCGTCCTTCTGGCAGTATCGGTGGGCACTGCGGGCATGGCTGCTGGGGAGGCAGCGTCCCACATACTTGATCGTTGCTGCGATTGCAATCTGGTCGTATGCGCTCGTTGCCGGGGCATCGCCATCGGCCCTGAGGGCGGCCGTGATGGGGTCGGTATACCTGTCGGCCCTTGGCTTGGGGCGACCGTCCAGCGTTCTGCCGGCCCTGGCACTGGCTGCCGTTGCCATGACGGCCGTTACGCCCGGCCTGATCCGGCAGGTGAGTTTCCAACTGAGCTTCGCTGCTGTCGGTGGCATCGCAGTGGCGCTGGCCCTGTCGGGGGGAAGGCTGGACTGGGGGGCTGCCCGGGCGGCGGGGATCGGGAGGAAGTTACTAGGCTGGGCGGGAGCCCTGACCGTGGTCTCTGCGGCCGCAACCCTCGCCACCTGGCCACTGGTTGCCGATAACTTTGGGCGGGTCGCGCTGACGGGTGTGCCGGTTTCCCTGCTGGCGATCCCGGCGATGGCTCCGTTGATTGTGGCGACCATGATTGCCGCGGTGGCTGGACTTGCCTTTCATCCCCTGGGCGAACTGCTGGGATGGATCGCCACCGCTCCGACCACTTACCTGATTGCCGTAGTTTCGGCATTTCCCTCCTGGACGTTGGAGTCCAACGGGGTGAGCTGTCCCCTGCTGGTGACGTGGTATGCCGGTTTGGGCATTGTGCTGCTTGCCGCCCAACCACGTTGGACCCGAGGATGGCGCCGAGGAGCCGGGGCTTTCTTCGCGAGGGTGTTGGGGTCGTTCAAAGCTGCGTCCGGAAGAGACGCGCGCGGCGGTGACGATGACAGGCGTTGGCCGCTGCCGAGCGCTTACCTGTCCTTTGCTGCCGCGGCTGCTCTTGGGATTGCGGCGTTGATCCTGTGGTTGCGAGTGGCGGGTGGTCCGGACGGGAACCTGCACGTTTACTTCCTGGATATTGGGCAAGGAGACAGCACGCTCATCGTTGCGCCGTCGGGGAGGCAGGTGCTCATTGACGGAGGGCCGGACGGGGATGTGACGTCGCGGGAATTGGCGAGGGTGCTCCCCGGCGGAGACAGGAGCCTTGACCTGGTGATCCTGACTCACTTGGACGCTGACCACAGCCATGGGCTGCTGGAAGTGCTGGGCCGCTACTCGGTGGGCGGAGTGGCCGCCGGTGTTCCCGCGGCTAACGGTGCGATGGGAGCCGAGTGGGAGCAGAGGCTGCGTCAGCACGGCATCGCGCAGTTGCATGTGAGCGAGGGGTACGTGATTCAACTGGGCGATGAGCTGACACTCGAGGTGCTAAATCCATCGCTGAGCAGCCCGCTGGGGGACTCGAACAACGATTCAGTGGCGGTGCGGCTGATCCATGGGAACGTCAGCTTTCTGCTGACCGCAGACATGGAAGAGGAGGCTGAACTGCGGATCGTGAACAGTGGACTGGAGATCGGGAGCACGGTCCTGAAAGCCGGACATCATGGCAGCCACACTTCGACCACACAGCGATTCCTGGATACTGTCAGTCCGTCGGTAGCCGTGATTTCCTCCGGCATCGACAATTCTTACGGGCACCCTGTTCCCTCGGTGGTGGAGCGGTTGGAGGACTCGGTGGGCGTTGAGAACGTCTATCGCACTGATCTGCAAGGGACCGTTGAGGTTGTCTCGGATGGGGAGGTCCTGTGGGTGGAGACGGAGCGGTGAATCGGTCACTGCCGTATGTGCAAGGTACATTCGCAACCGTTGTTTCGTCGCGCAGTTGTCCTATATGCTGTCTTCAACGCACTTCAGGCGATCCAGATGCAAACTCAGCCGATGGGCGTCCTTGAGCATAGAGATACAGCCCGGGAATTCCTTCGGGAGGCCGAGGAATATTTACGCGTGGGTGATGACCTGCAGGGGGCGGAGAAAATGTGGGGCGCGGCGGCCCATGCAGTCATCGCGGTCTGCCAGCAGCGGGGGTGGCGCCACCGGAGCCATCCGGCGATGAGTGATGCGGTGGCGCGCATAGGGGCTGAATTCAGGGATGCAGGAGACGAACACGCAGCCGACATCCTGGATGGGGGATTTGTTGCTGCTGCCAATGCGCATGTACATTTCTACCATCGGGACATGGATTTGGAAGGCGGCAATGGTCAATACTTTGCCCGTGCCAAGAGGCTGGTCGAGCAGTTCGTTGACAGGATGGTGGCGATTTCTGAATCGCTGGACTCTCCGTGACGGGATCAGGTGAAGCTCAAAGTCAGAGGGGCAGCCGTTAGTGGTTGCCCTTTTCTTTGTTGCTGGCTTATGGTCTTGGTGGGTAACAGGAAACGGAGGACGGTTTGTTGACTGGATATGAACGTATTGACGGGCGGCTGTGGGATGAGCCGCGCCCAGTGAGCATCACGGTGGGGTACCAGCGGTCGGCGGAGGGGTCGGCGCTGATTGAGATGGGTGGGACCAAGGTGCTGTGCGCCGCCTCTCTGGAGGAGCGGGTTCCGGCCTTTCTGCGTGGCCAGGGTACAGGATGGGTTACGGCCGAATATTCGATGCTGCCCCGGGCGACCAATACCCGCTCGTCCCGCGAGCGCGACACGGGCAGGGTCAGCGGGCGGTCGCAGGAGATCCAGCGGCTCATCGGGCGGTCGCTGCGGGCGGTAACCGACATGGCAGCTCTGGGGGAGAGAACGGTGCAGATCGACTGCGACGTCATTGAGGCCGACGGAGGGACGCGCACGGCGTCAATTACCGGAGCGTACGTAGCTCTTCAACAGGCAATGATGATGCTGGTGCGGCAACGGGTGATCCGCCGGGTGCCGCTGGAATACCCGGTGGCGGCGGTGAGTGTCGGGATCCTGAAGGATGAGTTGCTTCTCGACCTTTGCTATGCCGAGGACTACGAGGCCGATGTGGACTTCAACGTGGTGATGACGGCCAACGGGGGGCTTGTGGAATTGCAGGGCGCCACGGAGGCCCGTCCGTTTGCGCGGCCGATGGTGGAGCGGGTGATGGCGCTGGCGGCTCGAGGGCTGGAGCCGGTGTTCCGGGCCCAGCGGGAGGCGCTGCGGCGGGTGTAATCGGCGATTTTCGACTGAGCGGTCGTACGACCCGATGCGCCGGGTTGGGAGCAGGGTGAAACAGCCGTTATCGTGGAATGTTCAGACCGGCGATCCGTCTTCTGACTTCCGCAATATTCTGGGAGGGACCCGAAACGTCCCACTCGATGCTGACCAAGTGGTCGCGGTTGTAGAGCACCGGCGGGTTGTTCAGCACAAATAACGGGTTGGCTTTGTATATTTCGGAAAGCAACTGAAAGAGCAAACGCTTGGTTTCTTCCTCGACTGCGTCCGGATCTGCCGACAAGGGGCTGACGAGTGGATATTGGTGCAGGATCAGCCTTCCAGTAACCATTACGACCTTCACCTGCAACCTGAAGCCTTCACCGGTCATTTGCGGCCTCGCACTGAGATGATCGAGGAAGCGAGTGCTTCGACGTTGCGGCCTGTAGCCACTGCGTCGGAGGAGCTGGTGCTGGGTAGTGTGTAACGACGGAACCCCGTCAATCTTTCGATAGCTTGAAGATGAATGGGGTTCCCAGATTTCTACGTAGACGGGCCGTTCCCGGATCCAACCGGGCTGTCAGCTGGTCGTCTCACCGTCCTCGGTGAGGTGGACGAGCGGCAGGCCGAGTTCCGACAGTAGGCCCTGAGTGCTGGCGCGGTCGCCGACGACCAGGATCTGCAGGTTACCGGGTCGGATGTGACCCTGGGCCACGCGATGCACGTCTTCCAGGGTAATTGCCTCAATTGATGGACGGACGCTGCGGAAGTAGTCGTCGGGGAGGCCGAACTGCTCCATGGCGAGCAGTTGCCCCAAGACCGAGGCGGGGCGCTCGAAGCTGGCGGGGTAGGCGCGGAGCAGGCCGTCTTTGGCGTTGGACAGTTCCTCGGCGGTGATGGGCCGCTCGCCGCTAACCTCGCGGAACTCCTTGAGCGTTTCGTAGACTGACTCCTTGGTTGCATTGCTCTGGACGGAGCCGCCGGCCACCAGCATGGACTGGCGGCGTTGCCACTGGATGGAGGACATGTAACCGTAGCTGTAACCCTTGTCCTGGCGCAGGTTCTGGTTGAGGCGGGCCGAGAATTGTACGCCGAAGGAGTAGTTGGCCAGCAGCAGCGGGAAGTAATCGGGATGTAGGCGCGGCACGAGGGATTCCACGGCGCGGATCACAGACTGGGGTGCGCCGGGCCGGTCAACTAGGTAGATCGTGGCATGGTTGTCGGACAGTTCGTTCCAGTCGGCAGGCGCTGACCCTGAGGCATAGGCGTTCCATGTGCCGAATGCGGCGGCAGCGCGGCGCATCACCTCCTCCCGATCGATGTCGCCCACCACCAGGAAGTGTGCGTTCTCCGGTCGGTAGCTTCGGCGGAACTGGTCTACCAGGTTATCGCGGGAGATGGCCTGGATTGACGCTTCGGTACCGGATACTGGATGGGCATATCCACTGCTTGTGGGGTAAATCAGGCCGGCGAGCAGGCGTTCGGCGATGGCGTTGGGCTCGTCTTTGCTGCGGTGAAGGTCGGTAAGGTGTTCCCGGCGCAGCCGGTCCAGTTCGTGCTGAGGAAAGTCGGGCGAGAGGATAACCTCGGCCATCATTTCCAGCGCACTGCCCCAGTGCTTGGTGAGTGTCTCTGTGGATAGCAACGAGTATTCGCGACGGCTGTCAACGGACAGGCGGGCGCCAATGAACTCAAAGTCATTGGCGATCTGCTGGCTGGACTTTCCGGCTGCCCCCTCAGGGAGCATGTCACCGACCAATCCGGCGAGGCCAGGCAGGTCAGCTGGGTATGCGGAGGCCCCGGAACCCAGCAGCACTCCGAAAGCGACGATGGGCATGCCACGCTGCTCGACAACGGTAACGCCCATGCCGTTGGGAAGGCCGCCGCGAATGGGCAGCGGCGGCGTAAAGACCGGCTCGTCCGTGGGCGGCGGCATGATATTCCGGTCGACGGTAGTGGCTGCGGCGGAGAGCTGTGTCTCGGGGAGCACTCGCAACCGTACCTGGTTGCCGGAAACGTAGGTCTCGGCCACGCGCAGGATGTCTTCGGGCCGAACGGCGAGGCATCGGTCGAGGCTGGTGTTAATCAGGTTGGGGTCGGACTCGATCACGTTGAAGTGGTTGAGCTGGTCGGCGCGCCCGCCGAAGCCGCCGATGCGGGCAAGCTGGCGGAAGTGGTGGCCTCAATCCGGTTCTTGGAGCGGGCGATCTCCTCTCCGGTGGGTGGGTTGCTGTGGATATCCTCCAGCTCGGTCTCCACCGCAGCTTCGATTTCGTCCAGGCTGTGTCCCTCGGCGGCGGTCACCTGGACCAATAGCTGCCCTGCGATTTCCGACGGCACGTAGCGGATGAAGGAGTGCTGGGCGATCTGCTTTTCGTAGACCAGCGAGCGATGCAGGCGCGAGCTGAGTCCGTCGGACATCACCGCCTGGTACAGTTCCAGCGGCGCGTCGTCGGGGTGGCCCTCGGTCGGCGCGGGCCAGGCGATGTAGAGGCGGGGCAGGGTTACCTTGTCGCGCATCTCGATGTCGACACGCGGCCTGAAAGCAGGGAGTCCTGGCGTCGACGCGGCAACGCTTTCTCACCGGGGGACAGGTCGCCAAAGTAGCGGTTCACCAGATCCAGCGCCTCCTCGGCGCGGAAGTCACCGGCGATGGCGAGGCTGGCATTGGACGGGCCGTAGAAGCGCTGGAAGAATTCCTTGACGTCTTCCAGGCTGGCGGCGTCCAGGTCTTCCTGGGAGCCGATGGTCATCCAGTGGTAAGGGTGGGGCAGGGGGTACAGGGCCGGTTGCAGGTGCTGGTGGGCCATCCCGTAGGGACGGTTCTCGTAGGACTGGCGGCGCTCATTCTTCACCACGTCGCGCTGGACGTCGAACTTTGCTGGTCGAGGCCGTCGAGCAGGAAGCCCATGCGGTCGGCTTCGAGCCAGAGGGCCAACTCGAGGTAGTTGGACGGCACATCCTCCCAATAGTTGGTGCGGTCGGTGGTGGTGGAGCCGTTGAGGTTGGCGCCGGCCTTCTGCAGAGGCTCGAAGTGGCTGCGGTTGTGGTGTTTGGTGCCTTCGAACATCACGTGCTCAAACAGGTGGGCGAAGCCGGTGCGGCCCATTTCCTCGTTCTTGGAGCCGACGTGATACCAGACGTTGACCGCCACCAGCGGGATGGTGTGGTCCTCGTGGAGGATGACGTCCATACCGTTGGAGAGCTGTGCTGTTCGAAGGCGATGGTGACCATCAACAAACTTCCTAAGTGTAGGGTTGGATGACGTATAAATTCCGCAGGTCAGTCAGGATCTGTCGCGGAGAGCTCTACATCAGCAAGGCTTCTTCCGGTACAAGTCTCTGTCCAAGCGGGTCCACTACCAGAAGCATGTCTTCCAGCGCGGTTGCACCCAAAGGGTATAAACCTTCCGGACCGAAGACCACTCTGGCCTCCCCTTCGACCCCCCCAGTCTCGAAGTAGGCCAAGGCAGTCTGGTATTCGACTCTCTCGCCGTTGGCAATTCGTAGCCGCCTCGAACGAGCGGGTGCTATCCCCATTCGTTCCAGCGTGGATGCCGGAATCATTGAGTAAGTTGCCCCAGTGTCGACCAGGGCATTTACGGTTTCAGTGGCACCAGTGGTCAAGTTGCCAACGGTGAGGGGGGCACTGAAAGTTCCCACGTCTACGCCCCGGCCTCGTGGGCCCAGTAGTTCTCGTCGGTGCGCTCGCTGATGGGCGGGTTGGCGCGGTTGCTGGCGACCTCCTCTGCGTCCCAGAGCTTGGAGAATTTGAGAGCGCGGGGGCAGTGGCTGTAGGACTCCTCGACCTCGATGAGCAGGCCCTGGAGGTGGCGGGAGTTGTCGTCGGTCTCGTAAAGGGCGAGCTCGATGTTCTGCTGATCGAGCTCGGCTTTGCTGACGACACTGGCGCGACCGTTTGACGCGGACTGTGTCGTTGATTTGCCGGGGATGAAGAAGATAAGGCCGACGTAGGGGCTGGTCTCGATGTTCTGGTAGGACTGGAACAGCTTGTTGCCGGCGACGTCGGGGACAGCAGGCGGTGCTCGTCGATCACCTTGACGAAGCCGGGCTTGCCGCCCTTGGGGGAGGCGTCGCAGCGGCCATCGGCATCGGCGCTGGCCATCACCACAAAGGGGGCGTTACTGACGAACTCCTGCACCCACGGAGTGAGGTGGCCCTTAAGCTTCTTCACCGCGCGTTCTGATGGCGGCCCGAACTGCCCGTTGAACTGGCTATCGCCGACTACTGGCTCTCTTGTGGCTGTCATTACGCCTGCTCCTTCTGTCTGACTCGTATTCGGTGATTCTATCCGCCAAGCTCTGGGGCGTCCAGCAAGGCTAGAACTCGATGCCGGGCTGGGCCTTGATGCCCTCGTGGTAGGGGTGTTTGACCAGGGTCATCTCGGTTACCAGGTCTGCGAACTCCACCAGTTCCGGCGGCGCGTTGCGGCCAGTGATGATGACGTGCATCATCTCGGGGCGATTGCGCAGCGCTTCCAGGGCGTCCTCCACCGGCACCCAGCCGTAGTGGAGGGCGTAGGTGAACTCGTCGAGGATCACGACGTCGTATTCACCCTTGGCGATGATCTCCTTGCAACCTTCCCAGTGCTCGCGGGCCAGGTCGGCGGAGCTGTCGAGGTCCTTGGAGCGCCAGGTGAAGCCGTCGCCCATGGCGATCATGTCGATTCCCATTTTCTTGGCGGCGCGCTGCTCGCCGAAGTTGGCCGTGGTGTGCTTGATGAACTGGAGCATGACGACTTTCATGTCGCGGCCCCACGCCCGCAGCATCACGCCCATGGCAGCGGTGGTCTTGCCCTTGCCGGTGCCGGTGTTGACGATCACCAGCCCCTTGTTGATGCGTGGGCCGGTCACCGACTGGGGGGCGGGTTCCGACCTGGTGCCTGATTCCGGCTGATCGCTGGTGGTCATTTTCGATACTCGCAGGTAAAGATTTGGATTGGAGGGTTTGATTCATGCCATCGCCCTCCTACTAAGGAGAGGGGATGGTCTACTCAGACAGAGCTATGGGGCGCGCAGGTGTCGATGAACCTCTCTGCCAGGCCGGGGGCGCTGCCGAGGTGTAACCCGGGGTGAAACGTTTTAAAAGGTTGGCGATACGCTACCGGAGCGGAAGCCGTCGGGGCGGCCGCCTTGATTGACGACGCGGTAGACCGATTCGCCTTCCTCGGGCGGCTGTTCAAGTGTGGACCAGTGGAATTCGTGGCCGCGCACCTGTTGACCGGCGGAAAGCAGCGGGCCGTCGGTGAGGGCCTCCACCTCGCGGTAGCCGAGAGACAAACGGGACTGGGACATTGACGAGACGGCGGGCAGCAACCCTGCCATCGGGTGAGCAATGCCATCGAACCCGGTGAGGCTGCGGCCGAGGTACATCAACCCACCGCACTCACCGTAGACTGGAATGCCTCTCTCCGCCGCCCGCCGGATGGATTCCAGCATCGGGCGGTTGGCCGAGAGTTCGGCTGCAAACAGCTCGGGGAATCCTCCCCCGAGGTATACGCCGCGCCGCCTGCTCCCTCGGGGAGGGAATCGTCCTCTAGTGGGCTGAATGGGGCTATTTCGGCGCCCCAGGCCTCCAGCAGTCCAGCGAGTCCTGGTAGTAGAAGTTGAACGCCTTGTCCTGGGCTACCGCAATCACGGCCCGCTTGGGCTGCGGCTGCTGTGGGTAGACCTGCATTCCTTCCGCCCTGGCGGACGAAGGCGCGGCGGAAAGGCGGGCCAGTTCGGCGATGCGGCCGACGTCGATGGTCTCCTCGACCTGGGTGATGATTGACTCGTACCACTGGTTAGCCACAGTGCCTTCGACTGTCGGGATCAAGCCCAGGTGTCGCTCCGGCTGTTCGAAGTCGGTACGACGGGGCAGGTAACCCAGGACGGGCAGTCCGGTGGTGGCCTCGATCTGGGGCTTGCAGAACTCAAGGTGAGCGGGACTGCCGACGCCGTTCAGGATGACACCTGCCACATTGAGGTCGGGGTCGAACTGCTGGTAGCCCAGCACCTCGGCGGCCACCTGCGGGCGACCTGTAGGGCTCGGCACCAGCACAACAGGGGTGCCCAACAACTTGGCCATTGGGTCGGGTTTGATCCCTCCTCGTACCACAGGCTGGAATGGCCGTCGAACGGCCGCATTCCGCCCTCAACCACGGATATCTGGCTGCGGCGGACAAGCTTTTGGTCAACTCCAGTACCGTTGCATGGGGCAGAAGACATGTGTCGAGTTTTGCGGAATGAACGTCCGGCTAAAGGGCCGCAGGCAACCTTGTGATACGGAACGGGTCCCTTGTAGTCCCGGGCCAGCCTTGAAAAATGCTGCGGTAAACCAACGACACGCTGGTCAGAGCGCCCATTATGCCCCGTGTGCGATGGCCGGTCCTTGCCCACAGCCGCTGCGCACGGCAAAAGTTCACGCCCTCCGTCTCTCACCAATGGTCGTATTCATCGGACTCAAGGCTGCTCCTCAGCTGCAGTCAGGGCCTTTTGACCAGGGCAATCGCGTCTTACAAGGCTGGAGTTGCATTTTGCTGTCATTTGCCCCTTGCCAAGCCCGGCGCCCTCTCTCTAGGATAATTTTAATCAATAGCGGTTCGCAAACACAACCCTCCTGACATCCCGGCGGGTCCTCTGCCCTCGGTTCCGCGTACCGCCCCACCAGCGGGGCCAGGCCGGAATGACGGTAACTGACCGTAATGGCAGGAAAATCAAAAATCAGCCCCTGTAAATCGGCGATGCAGGCTCCTCCGGACCAACCTGCAGCGTTGCTGAAACAAGACGCGATTGCCCCGGTCTTTTGACACCCGAACTGGCCAACGCTACGATAGCATACCATTCGTTGAATATCAGTAATCGCCGTTGCGGTGTTGAGACGCAGGCAATGGCAAATCGGTTCTCGCGTATATACGAACTCCCGCTCCGTGACCCGTTGGAGGAAGCATGACAAACAACGAAGCCATCCAGTTTCGCCCGCGACTTCTGGACACGGTTTACGTTGGGCCGAGCTCTATCCCGACGACGGAATCAGTCCGGGCTGGGGCAGGGCCTACGCCTGGATTCCAGCCGGCACCTCCGGCCTGAACGTGTCTCTGGCGGTGTATCACTGGGGAGCAGGTCTCTGGCTGCGGGGTCCGAGGGGAGAGTTCCCTGACCACAATCATCCGCGGCTCGCCTCCCCCATGCATAACAAGACTTGACTACTCCTATCCGGGAGGCGCTCGACGAAGCGTTTAACGACCGCTTTCCCGGACGGTCCGGCACGAATGGACGCATCTCTATCTGGAGGACGGATTCGATGCCTGGCGGGAGTTCGACGTTTCCGATCAGGATAGCTGGCCTCACATGGCCGCCTGGTTGCACCTCATGCTGCAGATATACCTGAGGTTGATCTACACCTCCCTTGTTGGGACGCGGGGAGGAGTAAGGACGCATCGCCTGCTAAGCCAAGAATTTTCCGCTGACATTACGGAGAGATAAGCTCTAGTATTTTTCTTACATTCGCCCCTTGGCAGTAAACTACTCTCCCAGTGATGCTGGCGATCTCGAGAGTGGTCGAACCCTTGGGGCTTTTTCGTGTCTCAGCTCCAATTGGGAGGATACATGACCACCAAAGTAGCCATCCTCCTGGACGGTGGATACTATCTGAAAAGGCTGCCATCTCTCCGCCAAGATATTGACGCCTCAAACCCGACGGAGGTCGCAGGGTCAATCGGACAACTGATTAACGGACATCTTACACAAATCAACGAGGTGTATCGCTGCCCCAACCCTCAACAACTGCTATACCGGTGCTTTTTCTATGACGCCTGGCCTTACGAGAACAAGGCGCACCGCCCCATCAGCAAGGAGCCGATAGACTACTCTAGATCTGAGGTGGCTAAATTTCGCAACAAACTGCTGGATCTTTTACGCTATGAACCTAATTTATTTCGCGTTTTACGAATGGGGAAGTATAAGGCCTGTTGATCATCAACAGCCTGGATTCTAAAGGAAGATGCCCAAAAGCGTCTTCTGAGAGGGATATGCATTATCCACCTCGTAGAACAATGATTCAAACTCGAATTTGCGCCAGAAAGGGGATTGATATTCGTATCGCCTCGAATAAAGCGTAGCCGTCGCTCACCCTCAAAAAGCTGGTAAACATCATCGTATTGGTGTCCGGCGACAGCGACTTTGTGCCTGCGGCCAGGCTGGCCCGCCGCGAAGGTGCCACCGTTATGCTGGATCCGCTTCGGCAAACAGTTGCTTCAGATCTCCGGGAACACGTAGACCGAATCATCTACGGGTTCTACCATTCACCGCGGCAATCAGTCTAGTCGCAAAGCATACATATAACCTCACTCTGATGCCCATCCTGACCTCAGGTCTTACACAACCCCAATCGCCCAATCCGGCAGGTGCGAATATGCCCAGACTCGAGACCCTCAGCGAAGTGCAGCGGCGTATGCTGCAGATGTTCCTTGCGTGGAGCACGACGATTCACCATGGACGACGATGCGCAAAGCCCTCAGCGAAAGCCGCTTGGCGCTGGTAACATCGGCTGGACTGCACCTGCGGAAAGACAAGCCTTTCATATCCGACCCGAATGGCGGCGACAGCTCGTACCGGGTGCTGCCGCGACGCACACCGGCGGCGGACATCATTCAGAGCCACGTCAGCATCGGATTCGACCACCAGGCATCTATCGCGACATCAACGTGACCTACCCCATTGACCGGTTGGAGGAATTGGAGGAACAGGGCGTAATCGGATCCCTGGCCGATAACTACTACTCCTTCATGGGCGCTCTGCGGGACGCGTCGAGAGTCGTGAATCAGACCGGGCCGGAAGTGGCGCGGAAGATGCTGGACGAAGGGGTGGAGATAGTCTTTCTCACCCCCACTTGACCCCTCTGCTCGCACGCGGTCAGCGTGCTGGCAAGGTGCTTCGAGGAAGCCGGCATGAGTACCACCGGCGTCGTGTTCGTGAAAGAACACGCCGAGCGGACCAGCCCCCCCCACTGATCTGTGGGTGCCATAACGCCTTGTGACGGCTGGGCGCCCGGCGAAAACCACCTCGCTTTTTGGTCCAGCACAGGATTAAGGCGCCATCGATCGCCTGCTGGGCGCGGAAAGTGGCCCGGTGCTGGTAGAGTTCGAAGACGACTCGATGCCGGAACCGCTGCTTCAGTCATCAGACGCGGAGCGGTCCGACGCATCCAGGGGTCTCAATCCTGCTGATGAGCTCACTTCCGGCGGGCCCTCGCTACACCGAGCGGTGGGTCGAGAAGAACGGCGGGCGCACGGCGGTGGGCATCAGCGGCATCCCGCAGCGGCGATTCCGGGGCGTGGTGCGATTCCTGGAGGCATACTCCCCCGGCGAAGATTCTTATTTACGAGGGCCGTACCGCGAACGCGGCGTGCCCCAATCTCCGCTACTGCTTGCGTGGACGACCTCTGCAGCCTTTCTAATTACGAGGCGCGCATGGAGCAGCGCCCGGGCGCAGAGGACAGCGAGATCCACGAGTGTTCGGGCGAGACCGCCATGAGCGGGCTGATAGTCAAGCTGGCTGAGGCCATGAACCAGTCCGATGACACGCTCATTCAAGGCTTCCATCCCCTACGGGGCTGCCCGGTACCTCCCGCGTGGACTGAAAACCAAGCCCTCTCCCACAAGGAAGAGGGCATTTTAATCTCATGAGAGTGGAAGATGGCTTCCTTTTACTTACGACCACATTAACCTGCTGACCACTAAGCCGAGGGAGACTGCCCGTTACTTCACGAAAATGTTCGGCGCACGGATTGTGATCGGTGCATCGTACGGAATCCCACGTGTGACCTGTACCCTGAACGGGCTGGAGATTTTCATCGCCCGCTTCCTCCGATACAACTCCCGCGCCGACCACCCGCACCAGGTCCTGACCACTTCGGCGGCCTGATATAGCGAAACCTGCTGAGGCCGCGCCGAGCTGAGGGCCAAGGGCGTCGAGTTCACCTCGGAACGTTCACGAATCCGCCCCGGCGTCAGGCTCTCCTTCGTAGTCGCCCCCGGCAACCATCCGCAT